CAACAAGCCCTGAAAACAAACAACAACGCACACACATGGGGTACAAAGCACCATCTAGTCGGGCTCCGGTGGGGGCGGAGGAAGCGGTGGCGCCAGGCGGAAGGCAAGCGATCGAAGGTCGGTGAGGAGGGTGTTGATGACGTCCCGATCCTGAGGACGGCTAAGCGGCCGCCAAAGCTGCAAGTACCCACACATTTTAAAAATGGCGTCAGTAGCGCGTCTGAGAGGCACCTTTTGGATGACAAGCTTATTGCGCACCGTCCAAAGTGTCCAAGCGAGGATCCCAACGCAGAGCCATCTGATATGACGGTAGCGAGGGGGGGATGCATTGAGCTCCGCGAGAAGGTCAGGGAAGTTGGAGTTGCACCAATGTCCGCCAACCGTCTCGCGAAAGCTGGACCAAAGAAACTGGGCCGTGGAACACGAGAAGAAGATGTGGTTAGCATCCTCCACCGTGTCGCACAGAGGGCAAAGCCCATCTCCGGATCCATTACGCTTGAGGACCTCAACTCCGGAAGGGAGACGGCCACGGATCCATTGCCACAGGAAGATCCTGATTTTCAAGGGCAAGCGGATGTCCCAGATCAGACTAAACGGCTCGGGGGCCGGCGACGAGGCGATGGCCGCGTACAGGGATTTGGTGGAGAAGCAGCCGGAGGATTCTAGACGCCAAGAGACGGTGTCTGGTGTGTCATTGACGCTCATCGGGAGAAGGGCGATGTCCTGGAGGAGGGTGTCCCAGGCGGCCACTTCGGGCGGGCCAAAGGGACGGCGAAAAGAGAGGCGCCCTAAGTCAATAAGGGCCGACTAGACAGAGAATGAGGGTCGACGGCAATGGCGAATAGCTCGGGAAAACGAGCGGCCAGAGGCATGTCGCCAAGCCACCGATCAAACTAGAACAAGGTCGCAGACCCAGTACCAACCGAGATGGAAGTGCCAATGCTCAGCACAGGGAGCACCTGGATGACGGCCTGCCAAAACTGGGAGCCGCCCGTGCGCTGACAGAATGCAAGAGGCTGTCCACGGAGGTACTTGTTCCGGATGATGGTGAGCCAAAGTCCTCCATCGCCATTAGCAATGCGCCATAGCCAGCGGGTCAGGAGGGCAATGTTCATGTGTCGGGAGGACAAGATCCCCAGACCACCCTGGTCCTTGGGTTTGCAGATATCTGGCCAACTCACAATATGGTACTTCTGCTTGTCATCCTCGCCGGCCCAGAAGAATCTGGACTGGTATTTGGCAATTTCCTTGTGCAGCGTCTCGTGAAGGCTATAGAAGCTCATGAGGAACCACAGGAGGCTGGCGAGTGAGGAGTTGATGAGGATCACACACGCAGCCTTCGACAGCCAGCGCCCGTTCCAGGGCTCAACGCGATGCTGCATACGGGTCACCGTGGGGTGAAGGTCCGCCGCGGTGAGGCTTGAATCACTAATGGGAATCCCTAGGTAGGTCATGGGGAAGATCCCAACCGACAGTTAAGTCGGTCCGCGATAGCCTGAGCTTCCACCGGAGGGTATCCAAGAACCATCACTTCGCTCTTGTCGAAGTTGATCGTTAGGCCCGACATCTGCTGGAAGCACGGGAGGAGGAACTTCAGGTTAGCTACGTCCTGAGTAGAACCCTCAACCATAATAATGGTATCATCTGCATATTGAAGGAGGGAGACCCCTCCCCCTCCGACAAGGTGGGGAACAATGCCGTGAATATGGCCGGCATCCTTCGCTTTGTCAAGGATAGCGGCCAGGGCATCGACCACCATGTTGAACGAGAACGGCGAGAACGGGTCACCCTGACGGATCCCACAGAGGGTGGGGAAGTATGGCCCAATCTCGCCGTTGATGTTCACCGCGGTCCGACCGCAGGAGAGTAATTGCATCACGCGAGTCACCCACCGGTCGTCAAAGCCCTTACGGAGCAGCACTTCGCGCAAGAAGGGCTAGTGGACAGTATCATACGCGTTATGGAAGTCAAGCTTCAAGAAGACTACTCGATGGCGCTTCATCCGGACTTCGTGAAGGACTTCATGGAAGACCAACACCCCGTCTAAGATGAACCGACCTTGAATGAAGGCCGATTGGTTTGGGTGAGTGATCGAGTCAGCTAGCAGGGTCACCCTATTGGCGTACCCTTTGGCCAGTATCCGGAATATCACATTAATCACTATGATGGGACGGAACTAGCGGATGTCAGAAGCGCCCGGAACCTTGGGGATGAGGGTAATGATCCCGTAGTTCAGGCGTCCGAGATCCATAGAGCCTGAAAAAAACTCCTCGAACAGGGCCATGACCTCCGGCTTGATGGTCCGCCAGAATGTTTTGAAGAACATAACGGGCAAGCCATCCAAACCCGGGGCCGAGGTGGGGTTCATGCACTTAATAGCCGCGAGGACCTCATCCTCGGTGAAGGGGGCAACTAGAGCTGCATTGGCCTCAGCGGAGACCAACTGCACCCCGACCAAGTGTCGGGAGCGAGACTAGCCCCACACCGATGGGTGGGGGTAAAGAGGGTTTTGTAAAAGCCATCGACATGAGCCCGGATGGCCGGGGGGCAGACAAGGGGGGCGTCTCCCTCCCACAGGCAGTGGATGGAATTTCTCCTACGACGGCCATTCGCAACCGCCTGGAAATAAGCTATGTTTGCATCGCCCCGTAAGACCCATCTTTGGGTACCACGCAGCCTCCAGTAGGCCTCCTCACCTATGTAGATTGTTGAGAGTTGATCCTCAAGATCATATCTCAGCATCCACTCATCGGGGGAGATTCCAGAGGAATCGTCTCGGGCGTCCAGGGCTTGAATAGCCAACAAGAGAGACCGCTTGCGCTCGCGGAGGTCACGACCCAGGTTAGCGCCCCACCCCTTCATGAATTGGCGGGCAAGCTTGGTGCAGAAGTGCCACGAGTCGACGGCGGACATGGAGCGATGGGGGGAAGCGCGAGCCAGAGTTCAACGGGCGGAGACCGCCTCCCGGAAGCCGGCCTGGTTAAGCCAGAAGGTCTCAAACCGAAACCACGCCGGGGTGGGGGGGCGCTCATCCGCGGAGGAGAGGAGAAGAGGGACGTGGTCCGACCCAATCCGGGTAATCACACGAAGAGAGGCCAGGCGGCAGCATAATTCCCATTCTGGGGAAAGTAGGACGCGATCCAAAATGGATCGCGTCGGGTCGGCCTGGCGGTTAGTCCAGGTGAACCTGTCACCCGACCGCTCGATCTCTCGGAGACCAAGCTCCGCGATCCAGTCGTTAAACAACCGCATCCGGGAAAGGTTAATCCGATCATTATTCTTCCCGTCCGGAGAACGGATGAGGTTGAAATCTCCGCCCACAACTACTGGGAGGAGGGAGGAGGAGATCTTTTGGTGAAGCTCTGCAAGGAAGGCCGGGGAACGGCGGTGATCCGCCGGTCCATAGACAATCACAACCTCCCATTTGAAGTTCAGAGCTTACTCAAAGATCTCCATACTAACGAAGAATTCACCTCGGTCGATGCCGCCCATCTCGAAGGTGGCATCCTTTACCCCTAAAAGGATGCCGCCAGAGTGGCCCGTGGTCCCACTAGAAGGGAGCCAATGCCAAGCGAAGAGGTGGGAGCTAAGGCTATCAAGCTCATGGAGGGAGAACTCAGTACGCATGGTTTCCTGAATCGCAATGATGTCATTGTGTTCATCGCGCACGTACTCTACGAGCTGGCGGCGTCGGCCATCATGGACGAAGCCACGGATGTTCCAAAAAAGGGCCCGCATCTAAGCTCCCATCGGGGGGCTGCTTGACCAAAGGACACGGGAAGTGCGTTGAGCGCGGAGAGCGGCAGTGCGGGACCGAGTGCGCCCACGGATCACCCCGTCGACCACCGGAGGAGCCTGGACCGCGGTAGTGGCGGTCAGCTCCTCAGGGGCCCGACGCAGGCGAGCCCGCGTTTCAGCCAGTATACCATCAAGAATCTCGCGTACCCTAATGGCCGCAATCTGCTCTAAGGGGGGACCGACTTCCCCTCTGAAAATGATGGCCGAGTCAGTAGCCACCTTGGCGAGGTGGCCGAGGGGGACGGCCTCAAGCGCGGAAAAGGAACAACTGGAAGAACTGGGGAGGGCAGAATCCACACGTGACTCGAGGTTCCGGGCAACCGCCCGGATTTCCGCACGCTCAGCAATGGATGGGACCGAGGCATCGGCCGGGCGGGCCACATCAAGGTGGGCGCTGCGGCGAGACGCAGTCACCGGCGTTGAGGAGGAGCGGGGCCGCCTGGTGTACGCCACCGTTTGGGGAGGAAGTGCGGAGACTGGAGTGGTGACGACCACGGCCACTGCCGAGGCCGGCGAAGCCGGGGAGGTGGGGGGGGCGTTGAGGGTCACTGATACGTCCATTTTGCATCAGGCTTTTATACCAATATTTATTGCATTATGGGCTGTTATTTCACGTTATGTCACAATATTTATGTCTATTCTCTCTTATTTTACAAGGTTTACATGAAGAGGGAGAATGCCGGCAGCTGGAATTCTGGGCTGGAAAAGGAGCAAATATTGGAGAGCTATTCTGCGCAACTCCAAAAGTCCTGAAACTC